CACAAACATCCTTAGGGTGAAGTTAAGTGATTCTAATCACTCCAGTAGTTTTATTTCCAGTAAAAATTATTGCCTAACAGTGTTTTTATACGTTTGTTTTAGTAATCTTGCGGCACAGGGCTAAGATTTTGGTTTGGAGGGTTGAAGACAGGGCTGTACCTGTTCCAGTTTAATTACTGATGATCTGCCTAGCTTTGGGGTTTGTAACTTTTAATCAATTTAGTATCGGGGCTCACTGGTTAACGTATCGAATATGCTGGAGGAGGACCCACCAACTCCCTCCTCTCAGTGGAAGCGTTTGTGAACCTGGGTGTGGCAGGGACATCAAGATCACAGCATCTCAGTCCTGGGTTTGGGGATAACCAGCGTTGTACTGAACAAAAAGCTTAAGAGTAGCTGATGGGATGGGCCACAGACAAGTTGTTGAATGTTGTGATTTGCAAGGTAGCAGTTCAATGCCATCAGGAGGGAATGTTGAGGGTGTGGGGGGCTGGGTAGGTTGATAATAGGGAGGCACTGCTGTACAGAAAACATTGGATGTACCAAGTGATAAATATGGAGGCAAAGCAAAGCGATTAGTGGGCCATAGTCAGCCCGCAGGCATGGAGGCAGCGGGGGCTCGAGGAGAGAAAAGTTGTAATCTTATGGCAATATTGAAGTTGTTTTCCAATGTTTCTGAGTTTCATTTATACGGAACTCAGTTACCTCACACCAACTAGCTCCCCAAAGCTGTGATCTGCTATTGAGATGCAGTTCTCCCAGGTTGGTGTGACATGCTTCCAGTTAATAATAATAATAATAATCCTTGCATTTGATATAGCGCTTTTCATGTCTTCTAGACGTTTCAAAGCGCTTCACAGAATAAAATGAATTGACTGTATATTTGTGGGCAAAACACGGCAGCCAATTGAGCACAGCAATGTCCCACAAACAGTCGTGGATTGAAAATGACCAATTTATTATTGTTTTTTGTTTTGGAGAGATTATTATTAGGCGTGGAAGGAGTCCTCATTGGAAGGAGTCCTCATTCTGGATCCTTGGTAAATGCAAGGCTCATTATTTTATTATTGTTAAGGAATCCCTAGCCCCTCCCCTCACCCTAGATATCAAATTATATACCCCATTGTAAAAAGGTTCACTTGCATTTCATAAAGAGGGCTATAATTTTGGGCATGTTCCATCAAATGGCCATGGAGTGTTGTTGTCTTTGCCCTCGTGGTTCTGTGATCTCAAATTCAGCAAGGTAGGAACGTCTGTTTTACTGCCCAGAATACTTCCTACAAAATTGGCATTGAAGTCTAAAGTTGCCGATTAAGAATTACTGCATAATTACTACTTTGTTGGAATCATTTGCCCTAAAACCAAAGCACTGTTTGCATATTTTCCTAGTATATGAAACCTAACTCTCTTTGACATGATTGCTTATAAGTTACTGTAATGAATACACTGGCTAATGTTTAACTGGGTTTCCGCTGTTTTCTGAGGTTGGGAAACCTCCCTAGCTTGGTACAATACATTTATCTTCTATCGGCAACACTTACAGTGTTAAATTTAACATACTAAGTTAACTGAGTCCATAAATAATGTGCTGGCGTCTGGTATACGAGATTAAATCAAACTGAAAGGCAGGATTACTATATATGGTGGTGAAATAATAAAGTTTGAACGTAGGTACAGTTTTAGTCACATCAAATCTTCTTCTACAAATCTTTATATTCATTTTTTAACTTTTTTCACAGTTTGTAATTTCTATTGTTTTCTTTATTGCAATTCGCATGGATCTTTCCTTGCTTACTCTGTTGTGAAACTGGTTGTATGAAAAGTACTGAATGATGGGATCATTGCAGTTGATCAGCATTAAGACAGAAAGCAGTCAGTTGAACAAACAAACGTTGATCATTACGTGAAATAGATTGAACGGGTGGCATCCAGCTAGACAAACGGGCACAAGGTCACGATTTGCAAAGGGCCATTTCAGGATAGACATCAGGAAGTATTTCTTTCTGCATAGGATAACTGTTAAAGGCAATTCATCAACATATTTGAGATGAAATGATGCATACATGAGGGGGAAAGGAATAGAGCCGTCCAGTAGAGGGAATTAGGAGGGATGGAGGCTTGTGGGGAATATAGACACTGGCACAGACTAGCTGGGCTTAATGATGTTTCTGTGGTGTATGACTTAAATGATTACCATAAAGAGTGTCTACCGCCAGAATGCTGGACTCATTTTAAGAAGCTGCTGCAATGCTATCATGGGAAGACAATATGGTGGGTATAATAATAATAGCAATAATAATCCTTGCATTTGATATAGCACTTTATTATGTCTTCAAGACGTCTCAATGCGCTTCACAGAATATACTGTATAGTGGATTGTCTTGTGTATTTTGTGGGCCAAAATTTTGTCCCGCAAACAGTCATGAAATTTTTTGAAGGGATTATTACATCCGGAAAAATGATCCACCAATCGACTGACAACCGGGTTCATATTTACCTCTGGGTAAACAGAGGCGTATGGAGTAAGGAAACTTGCCTAACATTTCGCCTTGTTTGCGAATCGAACCCAGGACCTCTCAATTGCGAGCCGAGTGTTCTAACCACTAAGCTACAGGACTCCATTATGGAAGGAGATCAAATTGGCTGAAGTACTGCTTAGATCTGAACACCCAGTGATCTCCACTATCATCAAAGTTATATGTTTGTGATAGAAATTGCACTGATATACAGGATCATTGTTGACCATCAGTAGGTGTAATCTGCACAGCATTGGAACTTGAGCTCATAATGCACTGAGTGTAGTTCTAGGAGAAGTGCTATATTTTTGGATGAGGCACAAAACTTTGTGCCATACTTTGGATGAGGCACAAAACTCAGGATCTGTTTTCTAGGTATGACTGCAATCCCATGACACTGTTTAGAGAAAAAATTGGGAGTTTGTCCTGGTGTCCTAGCCGGTAATCCTCTTGATTGATTAATTGTTTGCCTCATAGCTGTATGTTGGATCTTACTGGTGCAACTGCTGTGGTGTTTAACTGCAAATAGTCACTGCACTTGGTAGTAATTACCCGTAAAGCACTTTGAGACAGTGTGACATATCAAACTCCTTGTTCTTTTATAATAAAATAATCCTTACATTTGATATAGCATCTTATGACAAAGTCAATGTCTCAAAGCGCTTCACAGGATATACAATTTCCTTTCCAGTGGTGGAAGATACAATCATGATTAATGATGTCTGAAGAAACGCAACTTTTTACAAATCAAATGACTGCCCTGAGCATTTAAGAGTTGGCTATCGTGGGAATGTTGCCTTTCCCTATGTTCCTCTGACAGTGTGGTCTTCATCCAAAAGTTTAGAGCCACTCTGTCAAGCCAGATGACTTTTTAAATTTTCTACATGATGAGTTCTGGGCAGTGATCTTGTGAGATTCGAGTGAGCTTTCTCCTGCTTTGCAGGCAAACTTGATCATCAGAGGCAGTGGGTGGATGTGTACTGTTGCTTCGTTCACCTTGGTTCATAACTCTTTGGCAGTCAATCCAAATATATATATGACTTCTTCACAGCAACATTGTTTGAATATTGATATGCTGGAGCATGAAGAACTGCAGTACGAAACACTGCATTATATCTGTGAACACAGTGTAGGCGTGCGTGTCAGGCAAAGTAATTCTTAAGGATTATTTTTTGTGTACTTAAAGGTTTTTTTTTCTCATTTCATTCGCGTTGACCCTCTTTTTGTTGGTTTCTTGATGCATTTCATTTACCTTTCTGTTCCTGCCCCACACGTTCAAGGGGTTTGCTCTGGCTTTTCTAGTTGCTAAGAATTGTATGAGAGCTATCAAATGATGTCACTTCCTAAGTGATGATTGTTTTTTTTGTGGGGGAAAAAACACTTTGTCTTCGTTCATTTTCTCCTCTCCCCCTACTCCCGGCCATCACTGTTAAAGCCTTTCAACATCCACTGATTACCATTTTTTAATGACTTGCCCAAATTGGAACTTATTATAATAATAATAATCCTTGCATTTGATATAGTGCTTTATCACTTCCTTGAGGCGTTTCAAAGCGCTTCACAGAATATACTGTAAAGTAATTGACTGTATATTTTGTGGGCGAAAATTGTCTTGTATATTTTATCTACACAACTTGGGTTTGGACAGACATCACAAGAGCCCCTCCCTACTCTCCTCACGATGTCAGCATCAAGCTGTCTCTTAATGAGTACAGTACAACATCATTGTCTCAATCACCTTTCCTGGTAATGTGTCCCAGCTATTACAATGTCCTCCCTATGTGAAAGGAATCAAATAATTATTATTATGAAATAATTACCTCTGTGTAAGAGAATGCTTCCTGTTGTCTGTCTTAAGTAATCCTTCACAGCCCTGGACCCCTCTTATCCTGCTGCCTCGGTGTATTAGTGAATTTCGTTCTGGGTTTATCTCCCTCTTCCAAATCCATATCCTGAGACATATCAATTCTTACATTTCTTTCTATGATTTGAAATTGGCATGATGGAAAATTGCTGAATTTTCCAGATTAAAGTTGCTGCCAGGGTTTAGTTGCTGTGTGGGTGTGTGTGTATTGGATTTCCTACCCTGTCTACAATTCTTGATACGATTATTGTGTTTGAGTTTTTCCCCTGTTTAAACAGCTGCTCACTCAGTGGTGAGCAGCCAGGAAAGGCTTACAGATGTGAGTTTTTTTAAAAAAAAGATATTTACAAAGCTCTGTTGAGTGGCATGTGGATTTTCTTTTAAATGTACAGATGTATTTGTCATGGTACTGATCTCCAGTGACTGCAATGGGTTTATTGAGTTGCAATCAGTTCTACAGAAAAAAGGGATTCATGAAGAAATTGCCCTTCGCCAAAAAATATTAAAGACCACATACTTTCTCAGATACTATTAGTCACGTAGCACTTGTTTCAATAAAGTGTTTTCTGAAAGTGCGTCATTTTATAAAGACAATATGCGTCATATGTATTATGTTGACCATGGGTATGTTATTCCTGAATTATTTTTTAATTGTTTGCTTTCTGAGTGCAGTGTGCAAGGATCCACCATACAAAGTGGAGGAGTCCGGATACGCTGGTTTTATAATGCCGATTGAGGTGTACTTCAAAAACAAGGTAGAGTGGTTTTAAAAAAATATATTTTACCATCCTAATGCTTTGATATATATACATGTATATATATTAAAAATATAGGATAAGTCTTTTTGCTATATACTGTATGCACTGCTAGACGTTGCAAAATAGTTTGCAGGTTGAATTTGGGGGTGGGGGGAAGGGAGCTGATTCAATTTGCTGCGTGAATCAGCTAACATACTGTCTAAAACTAATTATTTTTAAAAAATCAGGGGTTGCACTTAATTATGCAACTTGTCTATTTGGATATTAATGTTTTATCTAATAGGTTGCAAAATAGCTTGAATTGAATGGGACTGTCCCTATTTTGGGGAGGAAAAGAATAGCAACTTTTCATTGAGATGGAAATCTTTTGGATGAAATGCATGGTTTTCAAACTGGGGAAGGGGGAAATGTTCTCCCATACCTCTTTTGAATGATGTTGGTGCTCCTTTAAGAAATGTAGCAACGCTGGTGATATATTGGTATTGGGGCGTTTGTCTGATTTACACATCTGCCCATAAATGTTTCTATAAATAATTCACATCGAAATTCAAGATAAAATTTCTAATGTAGTTAAAAAAAACAAAATATCAAAATGATAATGAAAAGCTTTTGTAATTGATTTTTAAATTAATTCTCCACTCCACTGAGTTTTTTTTTACCTCTGGGGTCCATTAACCAACTTTTGATGTATTTGCAATTAATCCACAAGAAGTAACTATTGAGTTTCTAATGGAGTCAGGAGCCTTGTTGTGCTCGTTCACATTAGCATTTGTGTAATAGACCAGAACGTCTGCAGAACCTAACAATAGGACTGCAGATGAGAACAGTGAATTTTTCAACTTTGACACCTGGAGCACCCATATTTTTAATATTATCATGACTACCAAATTAAAATTTGCAATTTAAAATAAAGACTCTCCAATTAAAGGAGAAAGAGAGGTGAGAAGGGACTTTTTTCAATCTTATTTCGGCAATTTGTTTCTCTCCCATCCTTAAGCTGTTTTGACTCCTACCCCCTTTCCTATGTCTACTGCCCATGGAACCGAACTGCAGTAGAAATGGGGAAGTCTGTTAGCTTGCCCAAATAACCTTTGTTCATATGTGAACCTTCATGGTAAGATCTGCCAGGCAATTTGATCTCAGTGAGTGTCACAACTCAGCCCAATTCTGTCCTCATGCAATGTCTAAGCTCGGGTGAACTTACGTCTCTGATTTCCGGGGACAGTCCCCTGATGAGGTGTTGTGTCCCTGGCAAACTTGCCCTGTCTTGAGTTCAGCAACAAACTGAGCAAGAATAATAAAGTTCTAAAACAGATACACTCATCAGAGAAGTAGTCATTATTCCAACAAGCTTTCGCAGTCCTGCCAGCATTAGCAATTGTGGTGAGTTCAATTTTTTTGAACTCCCTGGATTCGGTTTATAAAATGTGGTCACCCTAGTCTTAAATATGTCTTCCAATGGATAGCAATTATGAGCAAGCACCTGCAATAATTGGAACTTGCAATAGTCTGTATCGTCAATTGGTCCACCAGGCAATGCCTTTACCATCTTATCCAACAGGAGAGCCTAGAGTTCATTTGATACATTCGTGTTTCACTCCCTCACTATTCTTCACACTTGTCCACTGTTGGTAAATGCCTCAGAAAATAAATTTTCCACAGGTTTTGTGTTCAGGTTATCACTGGAAGGCTGATATATCAGGTCTCGCAGGAACTAATCAACTAACATTGGCTGATATTTCCTCTGATTTCATTCTTTATTCCTTACCTCCATTCTACTGGCAATTAAGAATGTAACTTTTGCTTTAAAGCAAAATGAAATTCACTCTTTTTAAAGATATTGAGCACACAGGAACTTTGCACACAGCTGACTGATGGTTGAAACTTGCCCTATGATACCTTCGCCGTTTTATTCAGGACCAATACAAGATTATCTCAAGAAACATTACAATACTTTGTTTTTGATGAAACACAATTAGTGATGAGCTTGAATCTATAGCAGGTTTACCTTAAATATATATATTTTTTAATCTTGTTTATGATTTAGATCTTTGAGTAGTGATTTGGGATTACCAAAATTTACCTTTTTTTGCAAATCTGGAATTAATCCAAACCGACTGCATTATTGACCTCTGGAGAGATTTATTTTGCAAAACCAATCTCAGTTTGGGTCTTTTTTTCCCCCTTCAGGAAGAACCTAAGAAAGTACGCTTTGATTATGACTTATTTCTGCACCTTGAAGGACACCCACCTGTAAATCATCTTCGTTGTGAGAAACTCACCTTCAACAATCCAACCGAGGAGTTCCGACGAAAGCTGCTGAAAGCGGGAGGGGTAGGTTCTGCTTTCCTTTCAACAGTGGCTGGTGTAAATGTAGCAGTACTGATTCATTGATCAGTACATTTAGTTAGCTTTCATTGGGTGCTATTGAGGATGCTACAATCTGGTGCAGTCAATGTGATGTACAAGGACCATTGTTTTGATGGACCTAGGTTGAAAGGAGGCAAGGCATTGGTAAAGATGTACATTATTTGCTGTATTATGGACATCATCCAAATGACCAACACAACCAAAAAAACAAGACCTATAGCTCTTTGTATCAATTGTTGATACAACACCTCATGAAAAATACTATATCAAATGTAAGGATTACATCTGTGTAAGTTGTGGTCTTGTTTCATTGTGTAAACCCGATTAATAAATATTAATCGGGCCAGGATAGGCTAAATGCAGAGTAGGTTAGATTGGTACAAACCTGTAACTTCTGTAGTTTGGTAACTTCTGAGATTGACCCACAGAATATGTTTGGTCCTATCAAAGAGACGCAATTTGCAGAACAAGGTACCTAGTATATGTTGCACAGAGAAGTACAGTACAGTGGTTATGAGTGGCTATAAGAAAGTATCAGTGAGGGATTTACATGACAAACTGAAGCATGTTGATGTCCATGGTGAACTTTTGTGCACACTGTAACTTCCTGAGAAATGTATTAAACCTTCTATTTGGCCCAGGGCTTGGAACATTGAAAACCCACAGGAAATGAACTTGCACATATTGACAAGCTCAGAATTAAATTGCAGTCTCTTAGCCTTATTTCTGTTCCCCGCCCCCTCCTCATTAGATTTTAGGTGTTGTTACAACTAATTTTCTGGCAGTCACACTGGCAGTTTGATTCTGGATACACGTTGCAGTGACAATGTAATTGCCTGTACAGTAGTTTCTGTTTTTTTCTCATTGTCTTCACACAGCAGGTGATGATTATTCCTCTAGAGAGGAAACTTGTGTTGTGTTCGGTTGAACATCTGTGTAAGTTGTGGACTTGTTTCATTGTGTAAACCTGAATTGTAAACCCTTGATTGTCCAACTCAAAGTGTGCCAATAGCAAAACAATGATATCAAGTCAATTTTCCAGCTGATACAGTAGACCAGGGTGGTTGAACTGACGGCTGGTGGATGATTTCATCCCATCCACAAACCATTTCCAATATCATTGTCCTACTAGCAACTACAGGCGACAAGCAGGCCCCGAGCCAATCAGGAGACATCACCACAGTCTCCCGACAACGGGACTGGCTAGTCAGGATAAAATATTGCTTATGTGTCCCACGGATATTTCTGATATCTGGCATCAGACCCTCAGCAGCCAAAATGTTGGACCATCCAGCAGTAGACTTTTGTTGGAAAAATATGAATGGAAGATAAGTTATCTATTTCTATCTGGCTGTTCATGAGGCATGAATAGTTAAATACTTTTTTAAATAGTTTTTATCGCTTAACCTGCTGAGTAAGTTCTCTGATGTGGTTTCTTAGACTTCATGGCATCAGATTTTTCTCTCCTGGCTATTTTGCTGGGGGTTGGCTAAAGTGGGCATTCTTGATGTGTGAGACCATGCAGTTTAACCATTTAACCGGCCGGCTGTTAAACCACGTGAGACTAGGGTTGCCAACTTTCCAGTTTTTCAAAACCAGACACCAGTATTATTTGTTTTATGTGCATGCTCTGTGCATGCCCGGGAAAGGGGAATGCTAGAAATTGTAGTTCCACACTCGGTTTCGTTCCCACGGGCCGTTGCCTGTGGGCAAAAACTGATCTTTTGGTGTCAATGCTTCTGACCAGACATTACACAGATACCCTTGTGGAGTCCTGTAGCAAATTGGTTAGAGCACTTGCCTCGCAAGCAACAGGTTGCCTTACTCCACATGCCTCTATTTACCTAGCAGTAAGTAGGAACCGATTGGTGGATTGGTCACTCAATCCACGATTATTTGTGGGACACTGCCGTGCGCAATTGCTGCCATGTTTCGCCCACAAAATATATAATCAATTCGCTTTACAGTATACTGTGAAGTGCTTTGAGATGAGTTGAAGATGTGATAAGGCGCTATATCAAATGCAAGGATTATTATTATTAAATCCAGACTTTCCAAAACCGGAAGGTTGGCAACCGTACATGGGGCATCACAGCAGAGCGCTTTCCTGTCCTCTCCTGATGACTATAGCATACAGCTTCCAGCAGGGGTCACTGGAAAGCGATCAAGAAATGGAGACTATTTACCACATAAAAGTCTGTTCAGCCAATCCTATCTGCCCTGGTAGCTCTCCCCGCAAACCTCTCTGTTCCAATCACTCTGCTTTTCCTATACTGTTCTAATATTTTTTAAAAAATTCTTTTAAATGCTGATGATTGATGCAGCATCAACAAATGTTTGTGGTGAAGCATTCCGCATTTTAATAACCCTCAATTTGGAATCGGGTTGATCCTCTGTGCGGTTTTGGTGGTCCGTTTCCTGAGCCAGGCTGGTCCACAGTCCTGCAAAACACTGTTGATGACAGCCTAGCCAGTAAGCAGAACTTGAAACGTCAGGCTAGCTCTCTTGGAATAGGGATTCTTCCCTTTTGGCTCCTGTTATCCCTGTAAGACAAAGCCCGAATGGGTAGGATGGTCATAGCAAAACTATATTAGAGTTAAACTCGCTTTACTAGCAAGAGGACGGGGGTACGTTTCCTGGGCAGGGCAAAACCTTAGGCAATTTTCCTAACTTCACATATTCTGTTTACTGAGCAAGTAGGAACCTGGTAGTTAGTCGATTGTTAGATCGCTTCCCGGGGGTAATAATCCCTCCAAAAACAATTTGGTCACTCAATCCACGACTGTTTGTGGGAGACTGCTGTGCGCAATTGGTTGTCATGTTTTTCCCACAAAATACACAGTTAATTCCCTTTCCAATATATTCTGTGAAGCACTTTGAGATGTCTCAACAGTATGATAAAGTGCTGTATCAAATGTGAGTATTATTATTATAAACTAAATGAATACCCCAACTTGCACTCTGTGATTATCAGGCCTTAGCTCTTGTCCAAACTGCAACTAATACTTTTTGAAATTAGGTGAGGAGGGTGCATCCATCTGGGGAGAGAGTGAGGATCCATTTCAGACAAATGAGAAATTTCCATGTGTGGATGGAATGGATATGTGGAGCTCAGTCTGATTCGAATTGTCTCAAGCAAGGCCATGGGTTTCTGCATATGTCAGGCACCTGGTTGACCAAGAAAAAAATTCTTTTACAATCTGTCCAATTGTAAGTTTGTATTTATTTAATCTATGTTTTAACATTTAAGAGCTATATCATGTTTTCCCCCACTCTGATTTTTGTTATATCTTCCCTTCGCAAGCTGCAAATCATCCAAAACTCAGCAGCTCGTGTAATCTCGCGCACCAGGCTCCATGACCCCACCACTCCCACCCTCCCCGACTCCACTGGCTCCCCATCCCTCAGAGGATCGAATTCAAGATCCTTGTCCTCACTTTCAAAGCCATCCATGGCCTTGCCTCCTCCTACCTCTCTGACCTGCTGACCCCCTACCAAACTGTCTATTCCCTCTGTTCAGCGGGCTCTGGTCTGCTCCATGTCTCCCGCCCTACCATCGGTGGCTGAGCTTTCAGCCTCTCTGCCCCCACACTCTGGCACTCCAACCCACAGTTCCTTTGCCTCGTTTCCTCCCTTGCCTCCTTCAAGGCCGGCCTCAAGACTCTCCTCTTCGATCGTGCCTTCGGTCGCCCTCCCACCTCTCTGCCTTCCCTCACCCCTATCCCACCCCTCCCCCCTGCTCGGGTCCTGACCCTTGACTGTCCAGCGCCTTGGGACATCCTCCCGACGTGAAAGGCGCTCTATAAATGTAATTTTGTTGTTGAGTCTCTTCATAAGTTAAGGCTCTTAAGTTCTAGAATCACCCTCATCACTCTTATCTGCACCTTATCAAATACCTTTGAAGAAGGGTTGTAAAAACTGCACGTGGTATTCCAAGTGTGGCTCTGACAGTGAACCTCGCAGTGTTAGAATAACTTCTTTATACTTGTTGCTAAATGCCCTTGAAATTAAATCATATATTGTATTTGATGAGGTTAGGCATCGTAATGGAAATCCTATCCTTCTCTAGAGTTCAAGCACTCGCATTTTTCAGCAGTTGTCACTGAATAACAATTGGGAGCAAAAGCCCTTGTGTTTTGTTTCCTCCCTAACTAGGAGTCCTGAGACCAATTGTAGAGCCTGGCTGAGATCAACTTACTCATAGATGGGGACTTGAACTTCTGACCTTCTTGTCTGTGTGACTTTTTACTAAAATACCTCTTCATAGACAGATATTGGGAGAGTTGGAGTGTTTAATTAGCAAGGACCATTAAAGTACTCTTTTTGTTCACAAAGTAAAAAGACCCTGGATATTTTGGGACCTGATTTTTTGTTTGCTTGAAAAAAGTGGGAGAAAATTGGAATGTGGAATTTGACACAAAAAGCCCAGGTAAATTCAGTGGAAATCTTTCTCTGTCTCTTTCTCACTCTGCATTTCTATGTGTGTGTCTCCCTTTCTCTCTGAATTTTGTCTCTTTCTATGAGTTTTCTATTTCTAACTCTACACTGTTACTAAACATTTAGACTTTTTTGCATCTTTGAAAGATCCAGTTGGGCGCATGCATAATGTTACATACATGAAAGCTTATTCTAGATGTTTACATTGTTTCCCTAAGTAACTTGTGTGAATCCCAAAATCTTTGTGCATTCATTCCCGGAAACTGAAATGTGGGCACCATCCCATACAATGCAAATCAATTGGTTGATTTGTTTCTTTTCCAAAATTAGAGAGAAAGTTATTTGTTTACTTATTCGCTTTCATGAGGTTTTTGTCTGGTCAAAATTCGTTACAGTATTTTTAAAAAAAATCTAATGGTCCTTATTAATGAGTGAATTTACATTTGAGCTTGACAGCCACTTGCCTTTGGCACTTGGCTCTGTCGGTAAAAGATTTTCTTAATACTTTGGTGAATTCAACTAAATAT